TAAGCTGAAGTGGTCTGGGTGAGTCAATGGTAGGTTCTGACACATGGCTGGGCATAGTGAGAGTTGCCAGAACATTTGAAAGAGATATCATTTGTTTGTCCTCTAAAGACACAGACAATACCCACTATAGCCCCACTGGAAAAGTAACATTGTCTGTGCCTTTAGAGGACAAACAAATTATATCTCTTTCAAATGTTCTGGCAACTCTCACTATGCCCAGCCATGTGCCAGAACCTACCATTGACTTGTCCTCAATCCCTGATTCCTTATGGGCTTCAGGGAAGACAGATACAGGCAGACTCTCTGTGCCCGCAGTCAAAGTGATTCTCCTGCCACCCCACCCTATCAAAAACAATACCCCCTAAGCCCAGCACAGGAAGATGCTATTTCCCAATCTGTGCAAGAGTTACTGCAGGCATGGGTAATTGTCCAGACCACTTCCCCTTGTAACACACCATTGTACCCAATTAAGAAAAAACAAGAGAAAGGGAAACCTGTGGTCTACCGTATGGTACATGATTTGAGGGTAATTAATGCTGTAACTGAACTCATTTTCCCTAATGTTCCCAACCCACACACTTTGTTGGCACAGATACCACCTTCCTCTAAGGTATTTACTGTTATTGACTTGGTAAATGAATTTTTCAGTGTTCCCCTGGATCCCGATAGTCAGTATTTATTTGCATTTACACATAAACACAAGCAGTACACTTGGACAGTATTGCCACAGGGCGCACAAAACTCACCCACTGTAACGGACCGTTTTGCACCCAAGCGGTTAAAAACCTTTTAGCCGATATTCCCCTTTCTCAGCTGCACAGACAGCTACTGCAAGCACCAATCTCCCGAACTGCAAACCCACGAATTCACCAACTCCCGAACTGCAACCAAGGGAATACTCGAAACTCCCGAACTGGAGACACACGAATAGCTGTTAGCAGACGAACAGGAAAAGCCCCCAAGCGGCTTACACTCCTGGTAATCAGTCTCTAACAGCACACAGCAAATCCCCCCCAAAGACGAGATGACACTTCGTTTTGAGGGTTAAGCAGAATCTGGTTTACTGGGCTAACTGCCCGGCTTTTATGCAGGTCTCCCACCTGGTGGACACTCCCCTAGGGGACCAGATGGGAGATTGGGACACAAAGGGTACAAGAACCAATCACAGACTTACACATTTCAACCATCCCACAATGCATCACAATCCCTCCTCTCTGTTCTGGAGATAATTGGGAAGTAATCCAATTATCTCCAAGGACAGAGGCAAAACTCCATTACACACATTTTCAGTAAAAGACATAAAATTACACACAGTTACATTTATTACATAAAACATATACATTCTACATATCCCCAGATAGCTTAGATCTGAGTGCATATTACTACCGAATGGCGCTCAGATCACATATATATAGTTCAATCGCCATGCTCTGTTCAGATATGCTACTCTGACTTGAGACCAGAAGATAATAATGCATAGCAGTAAAAATATATAATTGCAGATAACAAAGACTTTTAATTTAACCTCATTTTGCCTCAACCCTCTCCTCAGTACTGAAAACGCCAGAGAATCTTGTCTCATAGCTGTCCCTACCCCCCTCTCACTCTTGAGGAAGTACCTACATACCCATAGACCCCATAAATATCTACCCGAGTAATTAATGCTGTAGCCTGTTCCCTTGCAAAGGGTTTAAATGACACTTCACATGCCCTAGAAGAGCTACTTATGAACAACAAGGCAAATAAGAAGGCAATCCTTGAGAATAGAGCAGCCATTGACTACTTACTAATGAAACATGACTTAGGCTGTGAAGCTATTGAAAATATGTGCTGTTTTAACCTATCTGATCACGGCACTATGGTCCATAAACATATAAAAGATTTACATGACTTAGTACAGGATATCAAACAGGATACTGGCTTCTTTGAGGATTGGGATTGGACATTTGGGCTAGGAACATGGTTGACTTTACTAATTAAGAACATTTTGTACTTTTTACTATTTGTCATTATGGCCATTTTTCTAACCTTTAGATTTTTCTCATGTCTACTAACCTCTCTATGTAACAACAAACCTACTGTTGGTCGTACCTTAACTTACATTACAGCTCCGACTTCGGAGGGGTTTTATGATGTTACCTCGCCTAACAAATGAAGGAACTCTCCTCTGCTGATTCTGGTGGTCTCTCAGTCCCAGGGAACGGTGGTGAAAAAAATAAATGAAAGTCCCACAGGCTTTGGCTAGCAGGCCTGGAAATACCTTGGACATTTGGGTGACCCTTGGATCCAAAGGGGGAATTGTGATAGAATTTATCTTGATTCCAAGGCTCAAGCTTATAGGTGTCATATAATGATGTCCTAAATTAAAATTGGCTAACTTGGACTCAGGAAAGGAAATGCTTGATGCTTAACACGACACTTAAGACCATATATGTCTAGTTCCAGGAGCAGAGAGCCCCCACCTGACATGTCTCTTCTCTAATCTTTTTGTTCTTTCTTACCTTGGAATTTATTTGTTATGTGTACATGACGTTCATCCCTATGTCTTATCTATACTCCCTTCCTATTACTGTTCTATGAGTATTTGCACGTAAGCACTTACTTTGTAATGTATAAAAAAACAGCTGAAAACAGCAGAGGCTTATTTTGAATACCAACAGGCAGGGGCGTACCTAGAGCATGTGGCACCCGTGGCGGGTCCTGGGTTTGGCACTCCCCATCCCCGCCTCTCCAAACCCCCAAAAAAAAACACCTACTACATTTTTAAAATGTGTTCTTTTTTTACATTTTTAAAAAAAAAATGTATTGAACAAATGTGTAACCTTTTTAAAACCCCAGCCCCCCTCTACAAAATCCCTGCACTCTCTCACACACAGGTACAAGCAGACAGTCACACGCACACAGTCACATGTAGACAGTCACACATATAGTCACAGGCAGTCATACACACAGTTACAGGTAGAGAGGTAGAGAGTTACACACACACACACAGTCACGCACACTGTTACAGGCAGACAATTATACAGTCACAGGCAGACAATTATACGCATAGTTACAGCCACACACAACACAGTTACAGGTAGACAGTTACGCACACACACACAGTTACAAGTAGACCATTACACACACACACACTGTTACAGGCAGACAGTTACACACGTACACACAGTTACAGGCAGACAGTTACACACACACACATATTTACAGGCAGACCATTATATACACACACACACACACACAGTCAGTTACAAGCAGTTACACACAGTCACGCACACTGTTACCGGCAGACAGTCACATATACAGTCACAGTCATACACATAGTTACAGCCACACACACACACACACACACACCGTTACGCACACACACAGTTACAGGCAGACCGTTACATACACACACACAGTTACAGGCAGACCGTTACACACTCACACACACACTATTACAGGCAGACAGTTACACACACGTACACAGTTACAGGCAGACAGTTATACACACCCAGTTACAGACACACACACAAGACAGACAGTCACACAGTTACAGACAGACAGTCACACACACACACAGTTACAGACAGACATTCACACACACATATTTACAGGCAGACAGTCACACACACACACACACACACACAGACACACACAGAGTTACAGGCAGACAGTTATAGACACACACACAGTTACAGGGTCAGGCAGACAGTCACACACACAGACACACACTCTTACTTACAGACAGTGTGGGCTGGAGGAGTGGATTCCCTGAAGTCCTTCTCTGGCTGGAGCCTGTTAGGTGGAGAGGCAGGGATTTCTTCTTGCTGCACCTCCATATGCAGCAGTTACAGCAGCTTGTAAGGGCCATGTTAAGCCCCGCCCCCGCTCTCAGATTGGCCCCACCCCTAAATGGCCATAGCATCCCCCCCCTTCTTCCTCCCGTGCGGCCAGTTAAGCTTGCTGGTCTCCGTGTGAGCTGTGCAACACCCCAGCTGCCATGGGGCACAGCTCACACATCCCCCATTAGCCCTCAGCCCAGGGTCATGGCACCCCCCTACCAGGTGGCACCCCCCTACCAGGTGGCACCCGGGGCGGACTGCCCCCTCCAGCCCCCCCTTAGTCCACCACTGCCAACAGGTGTCTGGTGTCTAATTCTCGCTTCTCCAAGTGCACTTGTAAAAACAATTTGAGCTTCCTCTGAATATAACAAATATCATTATTTGGATCCACAACACTATAGTGTCCATTTAAACATTGCAGCACTATCTCTACCCTCAGTGGCTGTCAGAGGACCTGTAAACTTATTGTGTTCTTTCTATAAACTATATAAAAAATAAACCTACAAACTGTAAATTGATGATTTCAGGCTAAAATTAAGTGCTAATGGCTACTAGCACAAGACGCATCACTAATCGTAACCACCAGTCTCAAACTACGGTAAATGAAGCAGGATATGAAGCATTTTCTTTCTATGAACACTTAAGAAAAAACAACAACTTTTAAACTGGTGATTCCAAATTGGTGTTAAAGGCTAGTGGCTACTAGCTGTAGGCACAGCACTAACCATGACCAACAATCTCACAGGCTATCTTCAACTCAATGTTTGTATGAGTCCTACTGTGACAGTAGCTATAAAAAATGAACTTTTTTTTTTTACTGAACAACACTCTCACCCCCCAAATTCTTTTCTTTCTACAAATACTAACAACAACAGCAACAAATGTTTAAAAACTGTTAAATCGTGCTGGAAGCCAGTTGCAATTACGTGCAAGTCGCTACCAGCTGTACACTAACCTAAACACTAACAATAGTTTCATGTGGTTATGACACAATTACTTTCCTTTTGTCTTGTTAAACTTAACAATGGGTAAAGCACAAGTTGTACTTTTGGCAAAAGTGGAGAAAAAATTCGGGCAAAAATAAATAAAAAGAAACAGTCCTACAAACCAACCTGCCTTTTACATTGGCCTGAACTCTTGATATAGTGTGTATGCCATGATAGAAGAGGATTTTCCTTAGCCTACGTCATGAAGCGGGTTAAAAGTTTCTGGGGTTGACTTTTCAAAGTCACTTTTGTTACCTTCTAGAGAAAAGTTGACTCTTTGCAGAAATTCCTGGGTGTGGGAACCAAATGGAAGCTTCAGTTCAAGGTCAATATCAGCAGACTTAATCTTCACAATGATGTCAGAACCTATGTTTAGGTGGAAACATTCTATAAGAAGATGTACATGTAGAAATGTGTTCTATTGTAAACATATGCATCATAGAAGATGGACAGGCAGGACAGTCTACTGTACAATTTACATGTATTTATTTAAAATGAAGATATTTGGGGCACCTTTCAATAATAGGTTGATATTGAGGGTACAGATATTTACAGCATTAGAAATGGTATATCATTACAAAAAGGAAATAAACTTGTATTCACAGGTCAGTGACTAACAGAGTAATTTACTAAAGACTGAATGTAGTTTGGATATAGAAAATCCAATGAAAAGCACCAGATTATTTCTACAATTTCGATATTTGCAAAGTATAAATTTTATAGAAATCAGGTTATTTTTACCGAATGAACACATCTTAGGTAGTACGATTTATTTAAAACCAGTCATTTTCAAATGAGAATCCTCTATGAAGTATATCATATATCTTGAAATGTAGTGTAAAATACACCACCTATTGGAGCGCTAATACAAAAATAAGTGATAGAGGGGTTCACTTACCCCAACAATTTTGTGTTGTCTTAAATTCAGGAATATGATTTTAAACATACAATGAAGGGAAAAAAAGAGATAAAAAACATGTAGTGTAGATGGTTTTGGTGAAAATGAGTGATGAAAGTAAAAAACTGAAACCACTCACATGGTCTGGAGCCTATATAATATTGGCTCCGTGCGTAAGCCTATGAGCTCTTTGGGCAGCAACACACCCCTGTGCATATGTGCTAACAGGCAGATTATATATAGGTGGTAAATGTTATGCTCACCTAGTTAAGACAACACAAAATTGTTGGGGTAAGTGAACCCCTCTATCACTTATATTTGTATTAGCGCTCCACTAGGTGATGTATTTTACACTACATTTCTATATATTGTTAATTTAATGTGGAAATAAGGATATTCCACTTTATGTGTTTGAGCTGCTTTGTATTTTAGGCACTGAATAGTTTCACCCATCACCTCTGTAAAGAGGGTTTTTTGTTTAAATATATCAGATATCTTACATGTGAATCCTATAGCAAGTATATTTAAAGGGTCAATCCAAGCATCATAATCACTACAGCCTGCTATTCCTATTTTGCAATGGTTTGACATCTTACCTGGTCCTGTTGGGTGCTAGGTCTACTCTATGGCTGTCTGTGACATGCATTCAGCTTCTGCAGAGCTGCAGAGTCGGATGCCGCCAAACATTGTCTGAAAGCGTCAGCTGATCATTCTCAGCTAATGATTGCAATTCTGTGCATAGAAATATGCACATAATTGACATTAGTCAGCCTGGAACTCTAGTTCTGGGCTGGCAGATGACTTCCCAATAATGCTGCTGGAGGTGGAATTGCATCTCCAGGAGCAGAGTGGTAATCTCCTTCTGTGCAGAGTTTCCTAGCGAAGCACTGCACATATAGAATTATTGCAGCATGACCACTTAAATTGTCTGTAGTGGTAATGGTACTTGGAGTAACCCTTTAACAAACACCTGATATTATAATTGTGCACAAATCCTTTTCAGTTGCATTGAATTAATCAAATTCCTGTTAATCTATGCTGAACATATCGATCGGTCCTAGGATCTACCTGTGGAGTCAGATAGATTGGTTCCTTCAGGCATATATTAACACAAATTTCCTGAAAAGGATTTGTGCACAAGTCTATTTCAGATCTAGCACAGCAAATCACCTTTGGCTTGCACAGAGCTAAACACCCTCTTCACTGTAAGGGTTGAGTGATGTGACCTCTAGCCAGGTGCCACAATACAAAGAAAAAAACATTATGGGGTCAATATAGGGTTCAAGTCCCCTTATAATTATCGGAAAGATAAATTCCTCCCCTAACCCACACCTGACATGCCACAAGTTACAGGTCCTTACCCAGCACTATAGGGAATACAAGCCCCACTCCACCACTAAAGAGATGGCACCTTTATTAATTGAACAACCATAATTTTATTTACCTCCTCCACCAGTAGGTGAAGGAGAGACAGGTCTCTCCATATTTTCATTATATTAATACCTGTGGAACTAATGGTTGAAAAGTAAATAGATAAATTAGAACAGAATGGAAAAAAAGCTGTTAAACAGAACACAATTAAAGTAACAAAATTGCAGTGGTCCAGAAAGCATCTAAGAAGTAGCTTGAGAGGCAAGAAAAGACTGTCAGGAACACCAAATTTTAATGTAATATTGGATTATTGAGTAGAGTTGCTTGATAGTAAACATTCAATAGGGCCACATGTCCGAGCTAATGGACACTAAGTATGTCACTTAAGAGCCCTAAAAACATGCATCCAGAAAACAGACACAGTTGGGCAGGCCCACCACATGTGAAAAAGTCACCTCTTTTCCCACTATTCCTTAAACAAAAAGGGGAGCAGTAGGGATAGATATGGCTTACTTCAACAGCATATTAATGCCACTTCACAAAACATTTCAGACCATTTTCCTTTAGAAATGAACAAATAGATACTTTAACCGAATAACTAAAAAATGTAGACCAATCCTTATCTGTAACTCTAATGCACAGACCATGTTCTTACAGCAACTGATAATTCCCTTTCTTCTTTGTTTTATTAGAATGTAAAAATCTATAGATAGCTGATATGGAGCCTCCATCCAATGGGTTGTATTTAAAAAGGTGAGAGTTTGTAATGTTGCATTGAAGAGATCTTGTCCTAAGGCTTTCTTTAAGAAGTCTACAGTAAACAAGAAATTGTCTATCTGTGATGATAGAAGTCCACGTTAGTCATGAAAGGCTTCTTCCCTCTTGACCATTCCACCTAAATGTCGATTGACTTCCATGAACAGTTTACATTCCCACCACCACTGAAAAATAATATGGCTCTGTTACATCTTAAAACAGAAATTTGGGTTTATATAAAAGGGGTCAAAGGAGAGCCTTAAGAGGACATGTCATCAATACATGAGCACTTTCTTCAGAGTTTATAAGCAAAAACAGTGTTTGGTAAAACGGTACTAATCATAAGTTTTCCTACAGAAGTCCATAGTAGACCTGACAAGACAAGTCAGGAAAGAGACAAATCAATTCTCAATGTCTACCCAATGTACCCCTAAGTAAGCTCCACCTCAACACCTATGCAAGTTGCGATACAAAATAGCATAAGGTCAGGAACCCCCAGACCTCCTCTTTGTTGTGGGAATTTGCAGTTAAGACTCTTGTCTTACTTCCAACTGACACAAAACTGTAGCATAGTTTTAATGAATAATGCATGTTTATGCTGATCCTCTGGGACAAATTTCACCCTAGACGCATAGTGAAGTTTGCGCTATATAGTTTCTCTCATCGAGGGGTAATACAAACACCTAGATACAAACATTTCCTTAAACCCACTGTGAAATCCAAAGAAAAACACCAGCTCCAAAATTCAATCCCTCACTTTTGGACGTGTTTAGTTTATATCCTGATTGTAGAATTTGGAGAATAAATATATGGTACTTAATAAATAAGTAAGGACAATTCTTGAAAGTGATAAGAGGATATAATCTGCAAACAAGCTCACTGTATAAATCTCCTTATTGTTTACCAGACATGTGTGTGTTTTCACAAATTGCTTGTACTAGGTGTTCTATATAAAGAGTAAAGAGAAGAAGGGATAAGGGGCATCCTTGTCTTGTACCATTAACAATGTTCATTGGGGAAACACCAAAAATAAAACCTTAGCAGTCAGGCTACTGTCCAAGTTTTGGATTGCCGTTATGAACCTTGCCAGAAGCCTGAAGCACTGTAAAGCTTTCCAGAGGAAGGACTAACATTCCACTTTGACAAATGTCTTTTGTGCATCAAGGCCTAAAAGCACCATCAGTTTCCAGTACATTAGATAAATCTAGTAGGTCTAGCACTCTTTTAAGTGTGTCTAGAGCCTCCCTATTAAGAATAAAATAAACCTGGTCTGGATCTCAGGAAGAAGAAGACTCAAATTTTCTAAAATTTACACAATGATTTTGATATTAAATTTAATTGATCATATAGGGCAAAAACTAGAACACCTAAAGGGATCTTTGTCTTCTTTAGGAATGACAAAAATGGTGGCTTCCAAAAACTCCTTAGTAATCTTCTCGCCACAAAAAAACAAAAACAAATCATTAATCAAGCATTACAAACGAGGGGCCAAAATATTGCAGAACTTCAACTCCAGGAGCTTTCCCATTCTTAAGGCCTTTAATAACATATTTAATCTCCTCAAAATATATTTCATAAATTTGATCCATACCATAGACAAAGGGATAGATTGTAGAGAAATTGATGATAGAAACTAATTAATAGTATTTCAACTTAATGTTTTTGGATATGATTTAATATTTCTGGCTAAACTTTATTATTTAACATTTTGAAAACATATTTAAATATTTTAATTCATTGATATATATATAGCACTGTAAAGCTTTCCAGATATATAAACATAGAATGTGACGGCAGATAAGAACCATTCGGCCCATCTAGTCTGCCCAATTTTCTAAATACTTTCATTAGTGCCTGGCCTTATCTTATAGTTAGGATAGCCTTATGCCTATCCCACGCATGCTTAAACTCCTTTACTGTGTTAACCTTTACCACTTCAACTGGAAGGCTATTCCATGCATCCACTACACTCTCAGTAAAGTAATACTTCCTGATATTATTTTTAAACCTTTGCCCTGCTAATTTAAGACTATGTCCTCTTGTTGTGGTAGTTTTTCTTCTTTTAAATATAGTCTCCTCCTTTACTGTGTTGATTCCCTTTATGTATGTAAATGTTTCTGTCATATCCCCCCATCACGTATTTCCTCCAAGCTATACATGTTAAGTTCCTTTAACCTTTCCTTGTACGTTTTATCCTGCAATCCATGAACCAGTTTACTAGCCTTTCTCTGAACTCTTTCCAAAGTAACAATATCCTTCTGCGTAGAATACTCCAAGTGAAGTCTCACCAGTATTCTGTACAATGGCATGAGCCCTTCCCTCTTTCTACTACTAATACCTCTCCCTACAGAACTAAGCATCCTGCTAGCATTTCCTGCGGCTCTATTACATTGTCTGCCTACCTTTAAGTCATCAGAAATAATCACCCCTAAATCCCTTTCCTCAGATGTTGAGGTTAGGACTCTATCAAATATTCTGTACTCTGCCCTTCGGTTTTTACGTCCAAGATGCATTATCTTGCACTTATCCACATTAAATGCCAGTTGCCACAACTCTGTCCATCTTTCTAGTCTACCTAAATCATTTGCCATTTTGCTTATCCCCCCTGGAACATCAACCCTGTTACATATCTTAGTATCATCATCAGCAAAAAAAAAATGTAAAAAAATAATAATAACAATAATAATAAAAAAAAAAAATATATATATATATATATATATATATATATATTAGACCAAACTCTGGCACTCACCATAAAAAATATATAGAAGCAAAGATTACACGGGTGCCTCCAGCGCATATAAAAACAAAGAACAAATGGAGCACTCCTTAGGGATTTTTTTAAGGTATATTGAAATAAACAATCAACGTTTCGACCCTTAAAAAAATACACCTTAAAAAAATCCCTGAGGAGTGCTCCATTTGTTCTTTGTTTATATATATATATATATATATATATATATATATATATATATATTAATTTTAAATTGTAATATTAAAAAAATAATAATCTAAAAATATTAGAACAAGGCCTGTAATTGCAGTACTTTAGTATATTTGGTCAATAATGCATAAGGATAGTATTTTATAATTTTTCTTTTTGCTACAGTAAATGCTATAACAACAAGCACAGTTATATATTAAAGGGACACTCCAGGCACCAGAACAACATTATCTAAATTAAGTTGTTATGGTACCAGAAAGCCCCTGAAGGCATTCTTACCTCAAAGTTGCCTCCAGCAGCGATGTCCAATTTTACTTACCGAGAATATGTAAACCTTCAATGGATGTAACTGTAAAATACAACACATTGTTTAACTCATTCAAATGCAAGAATGTGATTTAAGCCAACATGTAACTGAAATCCATTTCCTTTTTAGAGATTATTGTTAGAAACCGATGCCCTCTGTTGGCAGCATTTAGCAAATAATCCAAAAGAAATGAGAAGAAATACATAGCTAGCTTAATATAAATTGTAGCTTATAGACTTAATGGAACACTACACAAAAATGTATTTCTACACTATAGTGCTGGAGTAAATATTTAGGTGCTGGACCCCCTCAGAGTGAAGTTAAAAGGTAATCAAATTTACCTTTGTCTCCATCGCTGTGCCGGAGTCGCCACAGCTGACTACACCTCCATAACCATTGGGAGGCTACTGCGCATATGCGGCAAAACCCTACACTGCGCCAATAAGCAGCTACAAATTTAGTGTATCCATGTAGAGCACCTCTAATGGCAATCAGATAAGAAGCACCACTATTGGCAATCTGATAGGAAGCATCTCTAGTGGCAATCTGAGTGACTGCCACTAGAGGTGTTACTTGGCAGTAATGCAAACACTGCATTTTCTTTTGAAAAGGTAGCATTTACATTGAAAAGCCTGCAGGGACAGGCAATAGACAAAAAAAAGACTACATTAATTCTGGTGACTATCGTGTTCCTTTAAAGGAAATTAGTCAAAAATGCAACTGTTACTGAATATGTATAAAACAAATGCCAGATAGTAAAAAAAAAAAAAACACAAGATAAAGGCAATACATACAAAACAAAACAAGCTTTCTTTATATTGTTTTTTGTCTTTACTGTTTTCACTAATTTTATGATAGCTCCTGGTATTACCACCACTATAGTATTTTAGTGGGGTTGATTTCTATACAAAACAGTATGTTCTAGAAGGCAAACTAGTTTTAGTGTTGAGAAAAAAATGATTTCTTCAGTGACATTTTTGGTGTTCTGTATTTTAACGGTTTCATTATTATTTTTATTTTATATTTTAGTTTTTTAAATGGTTCTAAATACATACAGAAATCATGTCTATGTCAGTATTCTGTTGGAAACATTTTTGGTTGGTTTGATATCTCCAAATTCACTATCCAAAATGCAATGAAGAAAAAAAAACTGCAGTATAGTTATATAGTTACCTTCCTCGATGGATATTCCTTGAACCAGTGGAACAATCTGATCAAGAGACACATCTTCCGCACAGATGGCCATTCTTCTATGTGTGTATAGGAATAATCTGAGAAAACAACACAGCGTCAACTCCTCAGTGACAGCGAGATTACAAAAGATGCAAGTAACAGAAATAACTACAGATTGGCAATTCTGCCACTTTAATCAAATTCTTGGCATGGATCCCTGACACACTAATTTACAGAATTCAAAGAAAATTTCCAAATCTAACCTTGTGTTGTAACGAATACATTTTCTAAAGACAATTCAGTAGGGCTACTTTTTCCATTTGCAAGACTGTGCAAAACTATTTTGTGACTATCCGTCTAGATAATGTCAGGATTACTAGTAGATCCAGCACGCAGAATTATATCACACTTAGGACTAAAGGTCCTTGGAATGGCCGGACTTAACGTACCAGAGAATAGTCAGAATACTTGCCCAGGTCAGGGACACAGAAGGAGACACAACGATGAGGGAAAGCCAAAAGTCAAGGATACCAGAATACAGGGAAGTTAAAACGAAGCCAAAATCAGTAACCAGAAATAAACGCTCAGGAACACACTCTCGGATAACCTACTAAGGGAAATCACGACAGGGCAATGAGAAGAAGTAAAAATGTGTTTAAATAAGCCTCCTACGGATCAGATTGAATGTAACTGGCCTTTGACCCCAGAACGTGCGTGGGCTTCTTTTGCGTGATGTCACACGCACGTTAACGTGGTCATTGCCACGTGGGGCTATAAAATGGCGTGGAGCCGCAGCGGCCGGCGTCCACCAGCATGTTGCAAGAGTCAGGTATACTGGCACATAGCTGCTGAGCAGCACAAGGTAAGGATGAATATGTTACGGATACATTTCTTGCCACATTCATCAACCTACATAAAGGCACACTATCAAGCAACCACACATTAGCACTTATACATTGTTGCAATATGCATTCTGAGGGTAGGATAGTCGGGCATGTACACACAATAAAGAAGGAACACACCACACACATCTTTAGCATTTCACTGGTCAACAATCAACAGAAAAAAAGGCAGGGATGCAACATTATTGTACCACAGAAAAATTAACACATTAAGGGCACCTTCAGATCACATCCCCAACACCCCAAATGCTCTCAGATGTGTACTCAGAACAAACATTTTAAGTAAGATTTACATCCCAAACAAATAATGCAAGAATTTTTCTAGTTTTAAATTTTGTTGGCTTAGTCATGATATGTGCTATTAACCTGTCAGCTGGACAGTAATCAACAACCTTGGCACCTTCACTGCCCACTGGTCCAATAAAGTTGTATTTGAAATCAATATGCTTGCATGTTTGTTGGTAAACTGGATTTCTTGGAAGAAAAGTAGCTCCTTGATGGTCCCCAAAAGCTTGTACTGGTTCAAATCGACAATATTTATTCCCCTGAGTAACCGCATCAGGTACCAACATTCTTGTGTGATCACAGCTAAACCGTGAACACATGAGGACAATACTACTGTAGACTGTTTCTTTGACTTCCATGCAATCAGTGTACTCTTCTCTGTAAGATTATATAAGTATCCGGTCATGCTTTTTTTTTATCAGTCACATCAGAGACTAAAACAATCACTGTATGGTTCCAGCTTGAACTCTTGGTTACCCTCCTTGTAGTATATCCCATAGCCAATAGTATTTTCAGCTGTGACTAAAAGTTGTTTTGTTAGTGTGAAATCTGCCATGTTGAAATTCTCTAGTATCTTTGACCTTGAACTTTCTATGTTCACCTTTGCTAGATCAGCACATTATTCATAGCCAATGACTAAGAAAAGTTTAATTCTTCCAAGGTCTGTCATCTTGAATTTGGTTGTTTGTACTTTCTTTACCATCTTGAGTAATGTCTTACTGATGGCACGTATAATCAGATCATCTACCCATATTATCAGTTTTACTCTTCCATATCATACTCTTTGACGTAGATGCAGTGGGCTTCTGGGTTTTGTTCAAACTTCTTTTCACTTAAGTGGTACTTTGTTTAACTTGGGAGCTAGTTATTAAATCTGCTTGAACTTCACCTAAAAACACATTTTGACTCTTCTATATATTATCCTCATTCAATTGCAGCCTGTGAATAAGCTGTTGTATAGAGTATTTCTTCATAAATATCTCCCTTTACTAGATTGTAATATTTAGCAACACATCTTATCTGATCCATCAGTTTTGTTCTTATTGCATACATCCTTTAAACCCCTACTGAACATTTACCTTCTGGTAAAGTGGTCAAAGTGAGCGTGCTAATCCATTTCCTCTTTCATAACACTAGGCTGGGGTTGTGACTGAAGTGAGTTTATGACACTTCTAAAAGTTTGTGGTTCATCAAACACCTTGTAACAATAATCAGTTGTTTTTTTTAAATAGTATTTTTTGCAAAGTCAGTGTTTTTTAATGCATGGTGTTTACTATTGAAATCAATGCCTCCATTTACCTCCATGTACCTTGATCATTCTTGGTTTGCCAATTTTTCCTCCCTCTCTGATGTGTGAGTCTCTTTTTTTTTTTTTTAGGGTATAGAAAGCATATTACTCTCTCTGTGGGAATCCTCTTCATCATGCAATAGATCAGTTTGAGTTTGCTTTTCAATAGCTTTCTTTGTAATGAATGTCACAATTCTGTGTTTGAGAACTTTATCATAATACACTAGATAGCATGGAGTGTTTTTGCAAAGATTCCTCTCTCCCACTTTGAAATTCACTTTTTTTTTCTTTCTTTCATATTTACATGTAAAACATTCCATTTCTAATCCAAAAATCATTTTGAAAGGTTATAGATTTTCCCTCTTTACAGATAATATGGATAATATATTTATTTTATACGATTGTGAAAACACTGGTTTTGGATCCAAGCAGCAGTCCTTCAAGACTTATTAGTGTCTACAACTCCTCTGTTAATTTGCTTTGGAACAGCAGACATCTAGTCATATCAAATAGTGCTGCATTTTAATGGCATGAATAAGGTGCTAGGGTCTCATGTGTAATACCTTGTTTGTTTAGTAGTGACCTAAAACTCTCAGTCATGAACTCAATACCATTGTCACATCTGATATATTTTATTTTTCTGTATAACAGCAATTAATTTTTTTCATAGTGGTTAACACTGCATCACTTTTGCTTTATGAGAAGTATATACTGATCCTGAATAGTCACCAGTGAAAGCCATGGCATATTTGAAACCTTCTCTTGTTTGTGGTTCTCCTGTGGTACTGTGGTTCTGGCATCAGGCTCTCATCTTCTACTCTAAATTAAGTTTCATTGAGTGCATATTTGACAGTTTAAATTTGATTTATTAACTTTACTCTTAACCTTCATTCCTTCTTTAACACAATGTAACGTCATAGTGCGATGTCATCATAATCACAGTGGCCTACAAATTCATGCCAAGTTTGAATATCATTATATCTAAATCTAAATTTTCAGCAAAAGTATTTAGATAGTAAAGAGTATAGTATTTGCATATATATTGTCTATGATATAGTCAAGAATTAGTGATGTCCCAAACTGTTCGCTGGTGAATAGTTCCTGGCGAACATCGCTTGTTCGCGTTCGCCACGGATGGCGAACATATGCGCTGTTCGGTCTGCCCCCTATTCGTCATCATTGAGTAATCTTTGACCCTGTACCTCACAGTCAGCAGACACATTCCAGCCAATCAGCAGCAGACCCTCCCTCCCAGACCCTTCCACCTCCTGGACAGCATCCATTTTACATTCCTTGTGAAGCTGCATTCTTAGTGAGAGGAGGGACAGTGTAGCTGCTGCTGATTTGATAGGGAAATTGATAGCTAGGCTAGTGTATTCAGTGTTCACTACAGTCCTGAAGGACTCATCTGATCTCTGCTGTAAGGACAGCACCCCAAAAAGCCCTTTTTAGGGCTAGAACATCAGTCTGCTTTTTTTTTTCTGTGTAATGTAATTGCAGTTGCCTGCCAGCCAGTGTGTCAGGCTCACAGCATATACTGTGCCCACTTGCCCAGCGCCACCACTCACTCACTGGTGTCTTAATAGCTTGCATTTAAAAAAACCAAAACTTTTTGGACTGTAATATAATAGCAGTCAGTTTCCTTCACGAGTGTGCGTTTCAGGGCCTGCCCAGTGCCACCACTCACTCACTGGTGTCCCAATAGCTTGCATTTAAAAAAAACAAAACTTTTTGGACTGTAATATAATAGCAGTCAGTTTCCTTCACAAGTGTGCGTTTCAGGGCCTGCCCAGTGCCACCACTCACTCACTGGTGTCCCAATAGTTTGCATTTAAAAAAAACAAAACTTTTTGGACTGTAATATAATAGCAGTCAGTTTCCTTCACGAGTGTGCGTTTCAGGGCCTGCCCAGTGCCACCACTCACTCACTGGTGTCCCAATAGCTTGCATTTAAAAAAACAAAACTTTTTGGACTGTAATATAATAGCAGTCAGTTTCCTTCACGAGTGTGCGTTTCAGGGCCTGCCCAGTGCCACCACTCACTCACTGGTGTCCCAATAGCTTGCATTTAAAAAAAAAAAAAAAAACCTTTTTGGACTGTAATATAATAGCAGTCAGTTTCCTTCACGAGTGTGCGTTTCAGGGCTTGCCCATTGCCACCACTCACTCACTGGTGTCCCAATAGCTTGCATTTGAAAAAAACAAACCTCAGAGAACGACTCGACCGTAGCAGACTACCTCGCCTTAACTGCAGATATCGACACTCTGAGGAGCGATGAACCCCTTGACTACTGTGTGTGCAGGCTTGACCTGTGACCTGAGCTATCCCAATTTGCGATAGAACTTATGGCCTGCCCCGCTTCAAGTGTCCTGTCAGAAAGGACCTTCAGTGCAGCAGGAGGTATTGTCACTGAGAAGAGAAGTCGCCTAGGTCAAAAAAGTCTAGATTACCTCACTTTTATTAAGATGAATGAGGGATGGATCCCGAAGGGACCGACAGTGGGCGATACATTCGACTAGAAAAGGCCTGATGTGGGGGACATAACAGGGTGTCGCGGCTGCCGGCCCGCCGCGTGATATTGAAATCCCTAGCTCACCCCAGTACCTTGCCCTGTCGTGGTTTCCTGTTCCTGGTTTCCTGAGAGTGCTTTATCATTGTGAATCTGATTTCCTAGTATCCTGATCTTGGCTTTTCCCTGGTTATTCTGAATTCTGGTTTCCCTGACTTGGCTTGTGTAAATGCTATTGTGTATTTTCTGGCTTCCTTGACCTCGGCTTTCCCTTTGACTATTCTCTGTCTCTAGCGTATTAGTCCGTTTTACGCTCCGGTTTACGCTCTGTCCTTTTATTTTCCTTTTCTTGCCTATGTATATGTTTACATAGTTTCTGCGTGCTGGACCACACTAGTAGTCGTGACATTGGGATTAAACTAATAAGAATAGTACTACTTAACACACCACTCCTATCTGGTGGCACATTAGATTGCACGCGCAGTGCCCCAAATTTGAAGAAGGAGGACCGACCAAGCATCTTTTTCCATCTCCCGGTTCCTAAAATCGATGCCGTATACCCGTCCCGTGATAGGGGACGTAACAGGGATTAAACTGATAAGGATAGTACTACTTAACACACCACTCCTATCCGGTGGCACATTAGATTGCACGTGCAGTGCCTCAAATTTGAAGTAGGAGGACTGACCAAGCATCTTTTTCCATCTCCTGGTTCCTAAAATCGATGCCATATACACGTCGTAACAGGGATTAAACTGATAGGAATAGTACTACTTAACACACCTTATAATAACGCAGAGAGAGGCAACGCAGAGAGAGGAGTCTGAAGAAGAGGAGTCAGATGAGGAAGGTGGCTTTGAGGAGGTGGAAGACCAAACTGAGCAAGGAATCCCAAGGGGCTTGTTGTCACCTTTTGAGGACCCTTGGTGTTGTACGTGGCTGGGTGGAGGAAGAGACCTTCAATGACATCAGTGAGGACAAGGAATGGGACATGGCTAGTTTGGTATCCAACCTTGTGCAAATGGGGAGTTTGCGGTTGTGCAAATGGACTGTTTGCGGTTGTTTGCGGTGCGTTAAACGGGGAGTTTGGTCTGTCACTGTGAAGCGGGTGTAACCCTTACACTACCTGATCGATACAACATCATACCTGATGTTTTAAAGCAAGTTATTCCAAACAATTTAGGAATGTTAGGTGATTTATGCCCTTTATGGATTAAAACCAGACTCTGCATCAACTATGTAATTTTCCATGGGAGTTTTGCCATGGATCCCCCTCCGGTATGCCACAGTCCAGGTGTTAGTCCCCTTGAAACAACTTTTCCTTCACTATTGTGGCCAGAAAGAGTCCCTGTGGGTTTTAAAATTCGCCTGCCTATTGAAGTCTATGGCGGTTCGCCCGGTTCGCCGGTTCGCGAACATTTGTGGAAGTTCGCGTTCGCCGTTCGCGAAACGAAAATTTTATGTTCGTGACATCACTATCAAGAATGTGACATAGACATCCTGCTGCTGGGTCCATTGAGTGACCACTCAAAAGGGCAGTCCAATCTCTCCAACTCTGCAGAGCAATCTCTCTAGAACTTCATATGAAGCCAATGATTAACTTCAAAAGTAAATGAGGTGTGTTGAAGATGAAAACTGAGACATTGGAAGGCTATATATATATATATATGTATTAAGGCCTTTTGGCCTGTAATTGTGGGAGGGGCGTATGACTCACCTTCTCCCTACTTAAGGGACACCCCTTACCTGGCTCCATACCGTTCGAGGTCAGCGCTGCATCGAGAATCCACTTCCGGTTCACGTACGGCGCCATCTTGCTTTTCAAAACCCGCGGTTTTCGTTTGGTGTAGCTGTGTCCAGGAATCCTTACAGGTTTTCCGCCCGTTCAGCCACGCACATACCCGGTGTTTTCGTCGCAGATTAAGTCCACAGGACTTCAAAATCGTAAGTCCGTCGCCCGGATCATTTCCCACGGCGTCGCGATTTAAAACGGCCTTACTTTACGGCCACACGCTTTACGGCCAAGTCACAGGCATATTAACCCCTTTGCTGCCGGCAGGCATATCGGTTTCGGTTTTTCTTTGTATTAAGCAAATTCGTTCTGCATATCATCAGCTATAATTGGTTTCATGTCATTTACTGTTATTTAGCTTATGCAAATTACGAAATCCTTGCATATGACTGGGGCAATACCCCTGTTAACTACTTATGAATAAGTATTTATTTAGGTTATGGTTTAATCTTAGCAGATATGGCATTATTAAAGTTTTATTGAAATTCTTCATGTTATATACATATATTTATGGAGTTAAGCTTAGACAAGCCTTTACATTTTACAGATGTCGCTTGTAGGATTTACGTTATAAATTATGTTTAGAAATTACGTTTCTATCATACCATGTACTCACGTTTCTTACATGGCACTTATATATTCTGACTTTTTCTTTGTGTACTCAAACGACATACCAAGTACACAAGAACACGGTCTCACAAATCTCACAAACTCTCGGGTTGAATCACACGTCTTGATTCAACCACTCATACGTCACGTTGTTTCCAATTTTGGGATAACTTCTCAAATATTTCTGTACCTCGTACTTACCTCTTTTCATGGCTTACGTTTACGGCCTAACATATACGGTATTGTTTTAAATCCTGCACCTTATTATACCACAAACACTAGCATTACTATATCATACGCATTAATCTGGTCACCAGAGACATATCATACACACCCCCAAGCATGATTACCATACCACATACAGGGCCAGTCGGGCCAATATCATTCATGTATTCCCTTTCCATATGTACTACTAGAACTCATCACATATAACTAGTCTAAATTGGTATCATAGGATCCAATTCTCACACTATCATATTTGGTTTTCTATCCCTTTAGGATTTTTCCAGTTTTTCTCTACCTATCGCTTATCAAACGCATACATACTACCAGGTACGTTAAGCCTGCTCACGCCATACATCACATATGGTTCCTCCTCTACTTAGGACATAGAGTACTGGCAATTTTAGGGGTTATAGGCCCAAATAGGTATCCCCCCTCCCGGCATTCTGCCTATCGTTTAGTGGTCCGCGAGGCCAACACCCCGCCTCAACGTTTCGGAGGTAATGCCCCCCGGGCCACACGTGAGTTAGCCGCCTCGCATTATAGAGAGGGTGCCACCTGTCACTCCCTTCCCCTGTTTTCTTGTATTGTCACCGAGAGGCCTACGAATTCCTGCCACTACGTCGGGTGGCCTCAATAACCCCTCGCGCCAACGCATAGATAGAGCCTCTCATAGCCACTTGGCAACTAGCAGGGCCTCACCTGTCACCAAAGAACAAGTTTTAATTTTTCGCCTATCCGGCATAATTAGCCTGCCAGTACATCCCCTCGGGGGGTTTTATGCTAACCATATACTTTTGTAATCTAGTATGTCTCAAGAAGGGGTAGAGGATTTCTCCATCCCAAGGACTCCGGCTAGAACCAACACCCCATCACAGGAGGAAGATACGGCTAGTCCAGCATCTTTCAGATCATGGACTATCCCTCGTATCACTAGCGAACTCAGGAGACTACAAATCCCTTTTCCAGCAACAGCAAGGAAAGCGGAACTTTACAAATTATTACACACCTCAACTGATAACATGGACGCTGGGGAAGGGTCGAGCCAGTCCCACCCAGGGAACATACATGACATGCTCACGTCCCTCATGACATCCATGAGCAAGGTCAATTCTAGGCTGGAGAAACTTGAATCGGTCACTACAGCCCTCACTATGGCTGGACCGGCCACAGCAATTCCCCCATCAGTGGTGGAGTCGCAATCAGTTTCTCCAGCTATCACCTCGGATGACCAAGAAGTTTACCCTGCCCACATGATTCCTGAGCACCTCAGGAGAGATATCCTGGAAGGTAAAGATGTCAATCTGGCCTCACTACTAATTGCCTCCCAGGATATAGTGGAACATAAGACCTACGCTTACGATGATATTTCTGTGGTGGTCAAATCCAGGGATGCACGATTAAATAGGAAACTAACCATTCCTGAATTTGTATTAGCTTTTGGCATTTATCGGGATGTGGTCTGTACGGTATATCCCCACAGACGTGAGGAGTTTGACTTATATATGCACAGGCTGGTTGATCTGGGCAACAAATATGGTGGGTCAGCTTTCTATGACTACCATAGATCTTTTTCTGCCAAAGTGTCTGGCGCCTTCTCACAGTACGGGACAAGGTCCAACTGGAGTAAGATTGATACGATCATTTTTGCAGGCACTTTGCAGGTCTAAGAGCACCGGCCTGTGCACACTGCTCCTCCATGGCTCATACTGCCAATTTTTGTCCGACCACTGCGAACGAACCTACCACCTCGCAGGGCACTAGCTCCGCTGTGTCAGCAGAGAGAACACCTAAAGACAAACTGGGTCGACCTATCAAGTTTTTGGGGAAGTCCCAAATATGTAATAATTTCAATGTCGGTGCATGTAATTACAGCGGTTGTCGGTTATTGCATATATGTTCAAAATGTTTTAGGGCACATGCGAAAACCATGTGTCCAAATAAAATGTACCCTAAGCAATACTTAACTGAGATAAATATTTCTGTACTCACGGCATTACTGTCACGACATCCATCTAGACATTTGGTAGACTTCATCATCACTGGTCTATCACAAGGATTCCATACTGGTCTCATACACATGCCTTCAGGAATCCTTGAATGTCCTAATTTACAATCTGCACAACAAAACCCTACAGCGGTTAGCACACTCATAGCCAAAGAAGTGGCAGAGGGCTTCCTATTGGGACCCTTTCAGTCCTCTCCTTTTCCACATGGCGGACAAACCCCATCGGTATTGTCACAGGGAAATCTTCCCACAAACAAAGACTTATCATCGATCTGTCTGCACCTCACACCTCTGCCTCACCTAGTCTGAACTCCCTTATCCCCTCTGAGGAATTTTCACTTCAATACTTCACCATAGATCATGCCATTACAGCTATCATGCTGGCAGGGGTCGGAGCATGGCTCAGCAAGACTGACATTACAAATGCCTTCAAATTATTGCCTATCCACCCTACACTATGGCACCTGCATGGCATTAAGTGGGCCGGGCACTACTACTTTTTCTCACGCTTAACGTTTGGTTCAAAAAGTAGTCCGGCCATTTTCGACATTTTCGCCGAAACATTATGCTGGTTATTATTAAATGTAGCCAGATGCCCTACAGTTATACACTACCTGGATGATTTCTTACTGATCGAAGAGAACACTTCCCCTCCCAGTAGCCTCATAGCAACCATCAGTCTTTTTCAAACAGGTGGGTGTTCCAGTCTCCCCCACCAAAACTGAAGGACCAGATACAGTCATCACCTTTCTGGGAATCATGCTAGACTCAGCCACCATGCAAGCCAGCCTGCCACGCACCAAGATAGAGAACATTCTCACCAACATTAACCTCTACATACACCTCGGTACTTGCAATCGCAAAGAATTGCAGTCTCTACTTGGGTCACTGAACTTTGCCATGCGCATTATACCTCAAGGCCGGGCTTTCATCTCACGGCTCCTAACCATGTTCCCACTGTTTAGACATGATGCACACAGGTTACCACTGGATACCCAAGCCACGGCAGACCTACTTATGTGGAGAAACTTTTTGACCACCTGGAATGGGAAAAGCATGTTTCTCCCTAAATTGTCTGACTCCTCACCTACCATCTGGTCAGACGCGGCGTCTACCACAGGTTTTGCAGCAATTTACGGGAATGAATGGCTTTGGGGTAGCTGGCCTCCAGAGGTACAGGACCTGGAAGGGTTTTCCACTACCTCAGCTCTATTTGAGATGTATCCCATTGTGGCAGCTGCCATGACATGGGGGCATCTATGGGCAGGTTCGTCAGTACGTTGCCACTCAGACAACCAAGCTACCTGCCACATCATAAACAAAGGCCGATCCAAGTCACTGACCATTATGAGGTTCTTGAGGAAACTCACCTGGCTGGCTGCATGCCATAACTTCTTCTTGTTTTGTGTCCATGTCCCAGGTGTTTGTAACACGGCTGCTGACAATTTGTCTCGTTTCAATTTTCAGGCTTTTCGGCAAATACTTCCGTCAGCCGCACGTACAGCCACGACCACTCCACCTTTCCACCAGCTAGTCATGGACTAGAAGCTATTATGCAACATAGCAGGACATTGGCACAATTAGCACTGTCCACCAATACCCGGAGAACATATGACAGGGCTTTCCTTCTATTTAAAAGATTCCTGTCACTGCACAACGTCACACAACCTTTCATCATGACATCTTTGTTAGGTTTTGCTTCTTTTTGCCACCTCAAACTTAAATTATCTTACAACACAATCAAGCTATATCTGACAGGCATACAACATCACATGCTAACATTACAACCAAACAACACAAGTTTCATGTCCTCCTACCAGATCAAAAACATCCTTAGAGGTATCCAGAGATCCGAACCCCCACGTACCGCGCAAAGGCTACCTATAGACTTCAATATCTTCAAGGATTTATCCAGCCTACTAGATTCAAAACCCTTTGCGAACAACACAAACCTTGTTATAAAACCGCCATATACGTCGCTTTTTATGGTTTCTTGAGACCAAGAGAATTTACCGCCATCAACACATCCCAGTCCACTCACATTCTGCTTCATTCACACTTAACGAAACACATGGATTACTATATTTTAACTCTGCATCACTCCAAAACCAATCAACACGCACCCCCGGTAGAGGTTAGATACTATCCTACCCACAACGTGTGGTGCCCCGTCACATTACTGGACACCTATACTCAGCATTTCAAAGCATCACCATCTCAACCACTTTTCTGTCTACAAGGTTCGGTACTCACTACCACCACCTTCATGACCCACGTCAGGTCCCTACTTACACAACTAGGACTAAAATCAGCTAACTATTCGGGCCACTCCTTCCGCATAGGGGCGGCCTCCACAGCATCCAGTGCAAACATTCCAGTACATGTTATCAAGTCACTAGGGCGCTGGAAGTCTTCTGCATACTCTAGATACATACCTAACCCGGTACAAGAAGTTAGAAATGCCTTTCAAGATATGTCTGGTTGAAGTATGTATACTGCTCGTTTCGTAATAAAGTATATTTTCTACTTTTTGCCCTCTTTATTTACAGGCCTACCTCATCGTCGGTTCCGGCACACCACAACCGACTTGCTCTTTCACACTATCCCATACTTATCAGTGTTTGTATCTTCTGTACTATCATGAGCCCTTAACACAAGTATTAAGGCCTTTTGGCCTGTAATTGTGGGAGGGGCGTATGACTCACCTTCTCCCTACTTAAGGGACACCCCTTACCTGGCTCCATACCGTTCGAGGTCAGCGCTGCATCACCCTCCCACCCACTCCTTTTTATGAACTCCTTTTTCTCATACATTTCTTATTGGTGGGCCCTCTTTATTTACAGGCCTACCTCATCATCGGTTCCGGCACACCACAACCGACTTGCTCTTTCACACTATCCCATACTTATCAGTGTTTGTATCTTCTGTACTATCATGAGCCCTTAACACAAATATATATATATATATATATATATATATATATAATGAATAAACATATATTTATTCTTTTGCAAAATAATAGTTGCCCATACTTACGCTGCTGTCTTATTGCTCTCCACCAGACCCACAAGTCGACTCTCATTGCTGTGAGGTGTGACCAAGATTCCTTGCACAGCATAGATATTTCAGTTAAAGAGAATAGTCTACATTTAAACTTCAACTGCAATATTTAATGTTTGCTAATATATTTAGAAATTTAGTAATATTAACACATGCAAAAAAGATGTTCAATTTACCAGCTGTGTTCTAACTATGTGCATAAATTGAATAAACATTTACATTGCTTTAATTTATTCAAGGCTGAAACAACATTTTCTAGAATGCTCTCATTTCCATTGCATGCATTCAGGTTTTGTTTGCATCAATTTATACGTGTGAAATCTTTGCTTTCAAATTAAACATTAGATTTGGAAGATGTTTTACATTTTTGTAGCAATGATGGCAAGTGCAAAATAAAATAGATGGGCAACTGACTTTTCGAGTCAGGCAGGTTGCAACTGCTGTGCCATAAATATTTATGACTGGCCAAAATACATATGGTGGTGTGGCATTCCTGGGGAATAAGGGAAGAACTCAATGAACTACCTGGTTCTCCATGGTTAGGCTCACAACCTCCAAGTTATAGTATCCAGTACAAAAACCATACGTTTTGGCCCAATAGCCTTAATCATATCATTGTGCTGAAACATATGGGTTTTTTTTGTGTTCCTATCTTCAATAAGCTACATAATGTATTTTACCTGTTGAACTTGTGACTGTCGACTGTATATTATTTCTGACTGGCATTTAAACTACATTTAACAGGATATCCCACCAACTGTGTGTCAACTGAAGAATAAACATATAATACCTTGAGTAGCAGTACTAACACACATTTATTTATTTAAGTTAATAAGTTAAAATATGCCACTTATTTAGTTTTACAATTCATTTCAGTGCACTAATATATTTTTCAAATCAAGGCTGTTTCCAGAAGTGGTTTATAGGATAATCTATTTTAGGTTAATCCAAACTAAATTATTTCAATTTATGATCCTACAGGTGAGTGGCACTGATCAATACACTGATAGGAGTCATCCTCACACAGCCTCCAAAAGGGTTTCATTTTCAAACTGATCAGCAGAATGTGTTTACTTTAGAAGTTATTATTTCCTGCTCTTTTAATTGAATGTAAGAATGTTATAAGTAATAATGCAAAGGATACAGCAATGCAGTTTTCTCCCTCTTCCAGCGTTTCCTGAATTGCTATGGACTGGTCCATGATTTTAACTGAAAAATCAGAATGTCGTTATCCATGAGAACATAGCATTCATTCACCATGCATACTGTCTTGCTAGCCCA